ATTTTAAACAGTTTTGACAGGATTTGAGCTGTTCTGAGCTTTAAAACTTGCAATGACGGAGCTGAAGTTGGCTGAATGACAAAGCTACATTAGGGCCATGTACGGAATTGTGTGACTAACACGATCAAAAAAAAATTTGACATATAAATATATGCTTTCCTGGTTTTGAACTTTGGGTCTATGATCTAAAGACTGTGTATCAATAGTTACCAGACATTGTGTGGGATTTTCAAACATACCACCAAAATAGTAAAAGATGTTTCCCAATTGAAAATCAAGAGAATATTGATTATATTTATAAAAGTATATTGTTGAATTGTGTTTGCATGGATTCTCACATATTTATAACTGTAAAGAATCTAAATATAAACTATTTTCTCCCCTTTCTTCTGCAACCAAACTTTTTTTTACAGCAACATTACAATAATGGCAGACTAGGTTTTATATTTAGATGGTCAGCCTCCCAAATCCCATGCAGATTGAGTATTTTTCACTGTCTAGTCATGGGCGCAGTCGTGGGGGTAGCCCCTGTAAGTCTGTAGCAGGATAGTCCCAGGTGAGTGCAGGCTCACATATCACTTACACCAGAACAATGTGTCTCTGTTCAGCCTCTTTCCTCCCTCCATCCTCACAGTGAGAACTACTCAGTAATATACTGCTCTTCAAAATATTCAAAAGCTCCCAATTTATCTTTATATTTTTCTAATCTTATCTTATCTTAATTTGGATACTTCTGTAATGAACGAACGTTCCTCTAGGTACCATATGAATCAGATTTTTTTAGTAGTCAATTATCTACACCCTTAAAGATTCAATTACTTTTTGATATTTAAACCCAAAAATGACCCAAAGTGCCATAAAGCCGGGGTACCTAACTTTCAAACCACAGAAAAGATCTACCTAGAATTCATCTAGTCTGAAACTACAGGAAGTTCTTTGCTCTCGCTAGTTTTCACATGCATGTATGTTTGGCCTCTGTCACATCTTTGATCAGACAAGTGACAGAGAGGACCATCGGGCAGTCACTCAGCCCTCACTCAGCTCAAAGTGACAAATAATGACTCATAAGGTTCTTCATTAAGAATGCAAATGATCCAATCTGTTCCATAAGATGACATTGAAAGGCATATTTATGGACAAATAATGATATGTATGGACATTTGTGGAGGTTGTTTACTTGTGAATGCACTGGAAACGGCTACAAGTCCTAAGTAACTCTGAAACAGTTGTTTTGTGCTTTACCATTTTTATTTGTATTGCTTTTTTCTGCCTGAGATGTTGCTGCAGTACAGTGTTCATGGTTTTTCACTGGTCCAAACCAGAGCAGAGAGGATTTATAGTCAGAACCAAGCGGATCAGGTGAAAACCCACTGAAGGAATGCTAACTTTTAGAAAAATGCCAAAAAAGCATTCAGCATTTTACTTTGGACAAGAGCAGAGAAAATGGTCCGAACCGGCTACTTCTCTGCTGCTGTGACCTGTCCTGCTCCACCCAGAGCCTACTCCACCTCTGCTGCTGTGACCTGTCCTGCTCCACCCAGAGCCTACTCTGGGCGGCACGGTGGCTGAGTGGATAGCACTCTCGCCTCTCAGCAAGAAGGTCCTGGGTTCGAATCCTGGCCGGACCAGGGCCTTTCTGAGTGGAGTTTGCATGTTCTCCCCGTGTCTGCGTAGGTTTCCTCCGGGTACTCCGGTTTCCCCTACCACTAAAAATATGTACAATAGTTCTGGCATGCGCCTCCTGTTCGGCGACCCCACTCCCATCTCTGTGTGGAGTGAGAGGACAAGTGCCCAAAAATAACAATTGTAAACCGCTTTGTGACTCTGGTCTGTGAAAGGCGGTATATAAATAAAGCTTACTTACTACTTACTTACTACTCCACCTCTGCTGCTGTGACCTGTCCTGCTCCACCCAGAGCCTACTCCACCTCTGCTGCTGTGACCTGTCCTGCTCCACCCAGAGGCTTCTCCACCTCTGCTGCTGTGACCTGTCCTGCTCCACCCAGAGGCTACTCCACCTCTGCTGCTGTGACCTAAAGTCCTGTTGCATTTTATTATTAATATTGGTAGCTTTTTAGAATGTTCAAATTATTTGTTTTGTTTGTGTGGATTGATGTGTGCTACTGGACACCTACATTTCTCCAACAGGGATCAATAAAGTATCTATCTATTTATAAACATTTATGGGCATTGGTCATCTGCTGCCTATGGACCGATGGCTCCTACGTGTTTGTTATTATTGCATTTCCTGTGTTTTAACTGTTCTATCTTAAAGTTACTATCTGTTGATGGTGAATCTACAACTTTGTAATGTTCTCCTCCTCTCTCCAAAAATACATTGAAATTAATCATTGAAATAATTTGTGTGTTGCAAAAGTACCAATAGAACTTTCATTTTTGCCCATTTTGTCATGTTACAACCACAACCGTAATTATTTAATTTAAACCATTTCCTGAAAAAACACAACAACGTAACAGACAGAGACAGAATAATTATAACAAATATTTTGTTAGTTTCCCACCACACAGTCATGTATCTTTTTTTTTGACCACAAGCATTTTTCTGTTTAAATGCGACAAAGGTTCAGGTTGTATTGGTACTTTTTCAACCACATCTGTTTCCATTGAACAATAATTAAGATAATTTCCCCTATCTTGTAATAATGAAGAATAGATTATCTCTTTCCACAAACAGAAAAGGTTATTGTTGGTCCGGGTAAATGTGCGTCTCCACAAATACAGAGACGGATAAGCGTAAAGTAAATCCATTTGAAATAACAGAGATGTGGTCAGAGGCTGTTGTTACATGAACAGGCTGCATTCCTTTGATAAAATACTTTGTTTCAGTTTCATTATCACACTCCTGAGTTCACAAACCAAATCTCTTAACTCTGCAAACTTTGATTTACTAAGAAGAATGTTGCCAATGAGTAGGTACTTACTGTAACTCAATGAATGGTTAAATAGGTGATTATTGAAGAAAATTACAGCTCTGGTTGACAAATAAAAGATAAAGCCGACTCATCTTTTCCCCATATAACCCTGCTCTGTTTAGCTGGGACGTCTTGTGTTCCCTCTGGTCCATCTGAAGTCCTTGTGCTGAGCTACCTCACCACACTGCTTCTTACTGTCCCAGATTAGAATTGGGTTGGATCTTCCTGGGCTTGATCCATTATCATGTCTCCAAACTCCTCTGGGATTGTTTCCATTTAAAGTTTGTCCCTGATGGGGTTGTAAGCTGAAGAATTTTTTTGTGTGTAAAATACGGTTATGTATGTTATGGCAGGGGTCCCCAGCTTTTTTCAATCAGAGAGCTACTTTTCTACAACAGAAGAGGCAGAACGTCTAATTACTCTGCATCTGTATTTTCTTCTTCTTCATAGCTTTGTGACTCTTTCTTTTTTTATATGAAGTTTACTTCTATGCCATTATTTTATGTAAATGTCTTTTATTTTTGAAATGTGAGGTCTATCTATTCAGATGCTTTTTTATGGCAGTTAAAGGGCTTTTTTCAAAGTGCTGATCCTGGACTAGTTCTGGTTCTGGTTCAGTAACACCAGAGAAGCGCAAGTGCAAGTTACTAATTTAAGGTTAAAAAAACTTAAAGACCTTATGACGGGTTTAAAAAAAAAAAATAGTGGATATCAAAATTGCATGACAATGTCAATTTGAAAGAGATTCCGGCAAAAAAAATCCTATATTTTATAAGAAGAACGTGTTTTTCATGAATTTAAGTTGTCTATGCTCTAACCTGTGTGTGACGTCATAGCGGGTTACGCCCATGCATTGAAAACCATGGATCTATGCCACAGGACTGCCTTTTCTCTCTTCTCTCCACTGATGCCCAACACAATACTGCCCTCTACAGGTGACAATTGCTCACTACACATAAATTGCCGTTTTGAGTGTGAAAAAGTGTCCGAGGTGGGAATTGAACCCAAGTATCTGGGTCGACAGTCCATTGACAAAAGAACGAATACCAAATTGTAAACAACTTACAGTGTTGAAACGTACCCGTTCTGACGTCACCAAGGGCTGTGAAGTTTTTTTCGTTTCTAAGGGCGTTGCTATGGGGTTATTTCGATTTGGGGGGATCAGACAAAAAAAACAACAACTGATTTTGAAACCTTTAGTAGTTCTCTTCTAATATAAAATGGTATTAAAACTGTATTTCTAAATAAATCAAACCCGTCATAAGGTCTTTAAGGTAAAAAAATGACTTTAAATAAAACTGAAACAGGCGGAGAACTATTTTCAGGATTACATTGGTTTGAATGTGAGCAGTCAAAATGGCGGCTCTGGGAGTTCTAGAAGTTTCAGAATTATGGTAAATTTGGACTCACACAAGGAGTAATTTTTACGTTCCCTAACCCTAACCCATAAATGGAATTCTGAAAATATCACAGTTTTAGTTTTTAATCAAATGTTAATGGTTTAATAGTTTAATATGTTATGCCTAATGCTAAGACTGGTGAATATAACTTGAACTACAGAAACAGTTTGTTGAAAGGTTTTTAAATGCTAACTGCTGCAAGTAAACAGTGTGTTGCTATGGTAACTAGCACTTGCTCCAGGCTGAAAATGCTCTGAACAAGTCCAGGACCAGCACCTTGAGAAAAGGGGCTTTAACGTCCATAGAAACCAACCAAAATGACTACATTTGAATTTTACATTATTATACATTGTTATTTATTATTATTTGATGTATTTATTTCAGGCAAACACAGGGGCATCATGGTTTCTATTATCATAAAAAACATACCTATAGCAAAATCATTACATTTAACATTCAAATGAAAGAACTGCGGTAAGGTAATGGTAAACTAGATAATTTCATAGCAATAATGACATATAAATGACCTACGTACAGATAGAGAAAAAGTTACAAAGGTAGGAAAACCACCAATGCACAAATAAGTCAAATAAGTGCGGTTTTTGTACCTTTTACCCTCATATGAGTGGATGCCCTTTCCTTTTGATGTTGCTGGTGGAGGCTGGGGTCACTGAAAGGCTGCTCGGACTGTCCTGTCGCTGAGGGGCTGCGTCGGTCTGAAATTGTCTCCCAATAATCCATCGTTTCCCTCCAGCAACTCTGCGCCTTTACTGTGGGACCGCAACCTCCGGAACTCCTCAATCTGGAAAGTCAAGTTTATTGATATCGCACATTTAAGAAAGCAGAAGGAAAACTTGAGAAGACTCTTTTGTCATTGATAGATCAAACGTCATACTACTATTATACTTGGCACATCATTCAGGCAAAAGAAAACATGACAAAGCCCATAATGACTAATAGTAATGAAATAATTAAATACAGGTATGCCTACTTAGTATATGTCCTGTCAAATATTTACTCAAGTGTACATTTTCAACAAACATTTACCTACAGCAAAAATGAACTGTGCACAGTAATTTACTACTCTCCATTGACACCTTATCACCTCCTGCACAGTGGGAAACGTGGGGAATTTGTACTCATATAGCAGGCACTTGCAAAAAAGTGTGTGTGTGTAACAGGATTATTTCACACTCTGCCTACAGTTTTATTTTGTGTTAGTATTCTCTCTATGAAGCTTAGAAAATCCTTAACCTGAGACACATAGTGATACAATGAACAAATGCACACCCATTGAGTAATGAAATTATCCTGAAAGTTGTATGGGAAAAAGACATGCATGGGACATCTGAAGCCGAGGATAACAATTCTATCAGGAAAAAATTTAAATGTGTGAGTGAATAGAAAGATACATTTACACAACTTAGTATAATGAAAATATATGACTGGACTCCAGGAACATTGTAGATTTTGTCTGAAGAACAATGCATTTGTTGTAAATGTGAGAATGAGGCTGGTTCCCTCATTCATTGTTGGTGGGAATGTCCTATTATTCAACATGGTTGGTTAGAGGTCATAGGTGGCTGGGTTAGTGATAATGGAAAATTCATGTTAGGGATACCAGCAGCAGCATAGAGCTTTATACCTAAACACTGGAAGACTCCAAAAGTCCCAGAGATTTAAGCATGTTGTGGTGTCACATGAATGTAACCTATTAGTGGCATTAGTGGTTGTCAAAGGGCAGCGTTAGATGGCATGGCAACAGCAGCAAGATAAAAAAAAACGCTGAATATGTTTATGTGCATCTGCTTGAGTGGACTGTTTGAACACAGCTCTGGACACATCTACAGGGCTTCACATTTTCTATTTAGTATTTGTATAAAAATAGCCCTTGCTTTGGATTGAAAGTATGAACTATGATAATATTATATATAGAAACTGCTATAGCCGTGACAAACAAAATACTACAACACTACTACAAAATACATACACAAGAGTCTTGTAAAAGTAGAATCTTGTGCACAAATCAGACCACCAACATGCTCTTGGAGTTACAATTGGACACTTTAGGCTGAGAATTCTTTTTAGTAAGTATTTAAGTCAAGTGAGTGTGGGTAAAAAGCTGATCTATGTGACAGAGGCCAATAACACATTCTTGTAAAGTAGTAATAGAACCAAACTGTCTTGATAGATGGTAAGTTAGGTACTCAAGCTTTAAGCGTCTTTTCTTGACTGCCATTTTATTGGAATTCTGTCAAAACTGTACATTCACCTGCATTTGAGAGATCGTTAGAGGATATCGATAGAGGATCCATGTAACACTTTCGCTGCACGGAGGAGTGGTTAATGAGCCATCGTACACCCAATAGTCTCGGAGCAGAGGGTCTGAGGACAAGGAGAGAAAAATGTCTATAATTAAATAAAAGTTAAAACAACTACTCCTCAATTTCAAAACCTATATGTCGTTTGGGAGCAGCAGGATGCAAAATCTAAAAAAAGGTCTCAAAACAGGAATTGACAAAAAATAACCAACAAAAGTTCTACAATTGACAATGTGAGGATGTGTTCTTACCTGGTAACAGCGTGTTGGGGTTGAAGCAGGGGATAATCTTGCTCTTTCCCTAATGAGAAGAACATTTGTAATCTAGATAGAAGCAGGGCTGGACTGGGACAAAAAAACGGCCCGGGCATTTTTTCCTTTTTAGCGGCCCAGGCAACTCAAAAGGTTCAAGGAGCCATATTTGACAAAAAAAAAAAACAGCGCTGTATAAGATTATATGAAGGTAACAGGGTCTGAAGCTGTATTAGCTACATTAGCTACATTAGCTACATTAGCTACATTAGCTATATTAGCTATATTAGACTAATATCTAAATGACAAAGTAAAGGCTACAAACACATGAAAACCATTCATGATTATCAAATGTGTATTTTCATTGCAGCGTGTCCTGGAGAGAATGACGCACCACGTGACAACTCTGCTTTAAGTTTAACTTTTTTTGCCTTCATGCAATTGTACAAATACAGTAAATACATCTGCTTTTTGGCTCCGAGTTCACCTGCATCACTGTCTGTTCATATCGATCACATCACAGGCTGAAGTTTGCTGGAGCTGAATGTCCTTAATGGCCTTTTCTTTCACCGTCTCTGTGGAGGTTTTTGAAGTCTGAAAATAGGTGCTCTGACTTTATGATGAATTAATCTTTCAGTGAACGGTGTTTAAAGCTTCATTGTTCATTATTGTTTTCATTACATCGCAAACATGAAGCAGTCCTTCCTCATTGACTGAAAGCAAAAGTTCATTCTCATTCTTAGTCCAGTCTTATCGACTCTTTCTCTCTGTATCTTTGGGATCCATGCGCACACACAGTCTATAATGCACACACACCGGTTTGTTTACAGCAGCGGCCGCCTGGCACGGGGCCGTGTCACAGGACATGACGCACTACGTAGACAGAAATGCTAAAATTTAATATTACTTATACAAGTTTTTGCAGCATTGAAAAACGTTAAGAATGTTTTTCCTCCTACAGAAACCACATTGAAACTAGAAATAAAATATAGCCCTCACACTCCATTTTCAGACATTTTTGGAAAGGCTCCAGGAGCCACTTTAGGGGCACTAAAGGTTGCCGACCCCTGGTTTATACAGTATGTGGAAGCAAATACTGTAGAGGATCAGGATGTCTGCAGTTTCAACAATAAAATAAAGTACAATAGTCTACATTAAACAGAGTAATAAACATGTCTCAGAGTGAGGGAGGTGGCACAGACAATACTATATTGTTTGTTACAGGGATGAGAATTGGTAAACGTTTCTGAAATGCATATTGTCAGCCATTAGCTGGCTCTAAATCTGTTTAATCTGTTCACAACATTTTACTTTTGGGCTCAAACATGAACTTTTAATGCAATGGAAAATTTAGGTACCCGAGCTTTAATTTTGAGGAGAGGGGAGACGCGGACTGTTTTCTACAGCGGTGTATTTATTGGGTGCACAAATTACGAAAAGACATGCATGGTCCTGTGCGCGTTTATGGTCTTGGTACATGGTCACGTTGCGGCTACGCGCTCACCGTGTTGTGTTGTGAGCGGCTCCCGGTGAGCGGTTCCTGCGTCCAGCTCAGAGCCGCTGGATGCGGGAACACTGCGGCCGCTGAGGTGGTGGAATCCCGTTCGAGTACATACAGCATGTACCCCGCGGACACGCGCGCTCCCCTCAGACATTTCTCAACGGATTTACACTTTTCACAAACATGTTTTTTTGTATGAGGCAGACAGACCGGCCCATATATGGGCATCGGCCCTTCGGGCATTGCCCGGTACGCCCGATGGCCAGTCCAGCCCTGGATAGAAGGAATGTGTTTATTTTACTGTGTCATGAAAGATGGTTAGTTTTACCTTGTACTGTAGATCCTGCAGTACCTCAGTAATAGCCTTGAGCCCCAGATGTTCCTTTCCAATCTGACAAAGGGTCAAAAGTAATTTATTTATTATGTGAGCAGGATTACTGGCACATTGAGGCTGTGTGGCTTTGATTTTGTGTGAAATATTCAAACTTCAACAAAGAATATCATTTAAAATTGCTCAAATAATGGGTAAATAAACAGAAAGTACAATAAGCTGACAGTAAATATGCCACAATAAGTTGTTACTCAAAAATAATATCACAGGAAACACAAATAAGGCCACAATTTTTTGTGATGGTGCAGGTGTGGTTGCTCATGTTAGGTTTTACACAATAAGGATAAAAACTATATCCAAACTTTTGTAACTGAGGGTCGAATAATGACATTGAAAAAGAACAAAACGACAATGAAGTGAATGAATTACATGGGTTACTGTGTGAAATAATCCAAAGAATTCATGTGTGCGTGTTTGTGTGAATGCGTGTGTTTGTGTGAATGCATGTGAATGTCTATGTGAAAAATGCTAAACAAAACCAATGTATTATCAGTATGTATTTATTTATTTGACAGGGACAATGCAGATGATGTGCTGCATACTGAGGTCCTTTTTAAGTTATTTAGTATATAGGTTAAAATAGCCTAAAGCTTTACGGCTTACCTGAACAAACAGGGCTATGGCGAGGACCCCATTCTTCTTGCCCAGAGCGTCCTCCAGGTTGTTGAAGAGCGTGCTGTTCCAGTGGATCAGGTGCAACTATAGAACAACAAAGAGAGAAAAAAAACCCACTTGAATTACATTTGTATTTGACAGGTGGAAGGAGAAGCATAAGAATCAAGTTGTCCAACCACCAGCTGCTAATGACACAAGGGTTTACATTTCAGGCCCTCAGAGTCCATCTACACTTAACTACTACTTCTACACAAGTAAAGGGGTAAAAATCATCTCATCGTTGCATATAATATTGCTATGCCTATGCTGAATGGAAACAATGGAGCCAACCATGATAAGTTTCTCAAATCCATAATGTCAGTAAATTATTAGATATGGTTCAACAGCAGCAAAATAGGCAGGTTCAGTCCAATAGCTGAGGTCATACTCATTAAACTAGTCATTTACAGGTGAAACTTGAAAAAAATCAAATTCATTTATTTCTAACTTAAAATGTGTATATAGATTCATTGCATTCAATGTGACATATTACCTTTGTTATCAATTTGATGATAACAGATTACAGTTCATTATCAAAAAGGTGAGCAAATTATCAACATTATAACATTTTGAGATGTGTCGATCATCGGGCTGAGTGGAGAGGCGAGAGTGCTATCCACTCTATAAAATATAGCTGTTTCACATTGTAAGTTGAAATTAAATGGCCTTTTGAACAAAATTCTAATTTTCCAAGTCTCACTTGTAAAAAGAGTATTGTATGTGATTAATAGTTGCTTATTAAAAACCAAGAGCTACTGCTGTGGAGTTTACTTTTAAATGGGCTGGAAACGGCTGAAAGTCCTAGCGAAATAGTTGTTGTTTTGTGCCTTTGAATTTAAATGTTTATTGCTTTTTCTGCCTGAGATGTTGCTGCAGTACAGTGTTCATGGTTTTGCACTGGTCCAGACCGGAGCGGAGAGGATTCATTGTCCGAACCAAGTGGATCAGTTAAAAATCCACTGGAAGAATGCTAACTTTTTTGAAATGCTAATGAAGCATTTTGCATTTTACTTTGGACTAGAGCCGAGAAAATGGTCCGAACCAAGCGGCGACTCCACCTGGTGACCTGTCCTGCTCCACCCAGCGGCTACTCCACCTCTGCTGCTGTGACCCGTCCTACTCCACCCAGAGGCTACACCACCTCTTCTGCTGCGACCTGAAGGGCTGTTGCTGATTATTACTATTGTTAACTTTTTAGAATGATCAATTTTATTTTTTATTTTTGCTGCTACTGGACACCTGAATTTCTCCTAAGGGATCAATAAAGTTTCTATCTATCTATTTATCTATTCAGAGGTGGATGGTAAATGATATTTGTATTAGGTATGTTATATAATTATTAATTTCATTATAAGATGTATTATTTTTCTTTACGGGTAATGAAAATGATAATGTAATGATGAAAACCATTACATTATCATTTGTCAATCTCACCTCTCATATGGTTTTTGTGTTGTTCAGAAACATGTCTTGAAAATCACACTTACATAAAACGAAAATGAAAACATTGGCTACAATCCGGTCTGACTGAGAGGACAAAGTGCAAAGAGTGCACAATAGGGCACTGTAAAAAAAAAAAAACACTGGCCTTTATAAAGAAACAGCTTTGACCTCATAATTTCGTTAAATGTCAAGCACACGTACATAAAAAGCATACACTGGGTTTTGGTGATCTTTAAAGGTAATATTATTCACCTATAATAGCAAGAAGACAATCCTTGGTTAAAGAAAATAAAAATAAAAAAGTTACCAAAATGACCTGAAAACTGTTGATAATAATGAATGGCCAAATGCATCACATTCTCCACTGAGATTGGAAATATGGAGAAAACAGAAGCAACAAAGCATTTTTAGTTTTGAATTAATTGGCTCATTAAACATATAGCTACTAATTTGAGGATTAAAGTTTTCTTTTAACAAAACAAAAAGTGCATGAAGCTGGTACTGCTTAATTATCTGACTTGTTTATGTGGTAGACTTCCGCCTTCATCTGAGGTCAGTTACTGTTATGTAGTTATCTATCATATCTTAACTTTGATATAGTTACTTTTTGCTGAACAATGTTGAGACATGCTGAGAACAAATGGCACTCGAAACTTCTCAGACTTGTGAATCAGATAAGGATGGATAACTGCAAAATGTGGTTTGTACTAACGCAGACTATAGCAAGAGGGACCAACAACGCAAAAGACTTAATCACCAGACGACTTTACAAGGTGTGTGAATTAAAAATTGTAATTCTACTGAGTATATAGAAAAGTGCTGTTAAAGACAAGGATAATTAACTGAAATGTTTTGTGTGTGTTGTTTGCTCGTCGCACCTCCATTGGGAAAGCCTTGAAGTTGACGGTATGCTCTGAGCCTCTCTGGTTCTCTTTGCCCCAGTGGAACCGAACTTCGTGAAGCTCGTACTCGTGGTCGCTGGGGAGAGGGCCTCCGGTGACCACTGACAAGGAAAACAGGATACATGTGGGATTAGATTGTGGATTAGATACATTCAAGCACTTCAAGTAATCCAGCAAGTAAATACAAACGTGGTCGGTAAAGAAATAGTGGTAGCAGCATTGAAAGAAAAATAGCAATACTTCTAGAACAAGCAGAAGGAAACATCAAGGAATTAGTAAGTATTTGGGATAGTGGAAGTAGTAGATATTTTTATTAAATTATTAAGTAGTATATTATGGTAAAAGCATACATTGTGTGTGCAGTTAAAGGAAAATTATTGTCCTTTAATACTTTATATTGATCTGAATAAAGAGGTCCAGGGAAGAAACAAAACAAAACAAAAAGAAAATCTGTGCCCTTATTCGACATTGACAGTCCCAAAAAGGCTCTGTCAACTAAAAGTATATGTGGTTTTGTCCTGTAAGAATTTTGTATAAATCTGTTGGTGGTCCAGATTTTCTAGTGGAACAGATTTCAGTGTCAAAGGGTACTACTTTCTCCTCTCACTGTATTTTGGATAGTTTTCAATCCCCAATAATCATCTGTCACCTGACTTGGACTTGAGGAGGATGCGGACAGTATGCCCGTCGTTGATGACCTCACAGTCCCGACAAACCACATAGTTTGGATTCAAGCCCACATCCAGCAGAGACGGGTCGTAGAGGGCCTCTCTTGAGTTCAGGTTGATGGGAGACTGGTACTCCCCGTTGGCTGCTGGGAAATGTAGTCCCCACTCTACACCTGAGGAGCAAACAGACAGATCATTCCTACCAAGATGAAGAATTAAGTGCATTCAAAACAGACATGCTCTTAATTATTTGGGAATAGTATTAGTAATAACAATAAAACATACTATTAGTATTAGAGACAAGCAAGCTAAGGATAACAAGAGCTCGTTTCATTTATTTTAGCATACTAAATACCCGCTGGTTTTCATCCAATGTAAACAAAACTCCACCAAAAAAAATACACTTGTAGACTAGTGTACTTAATAGGCACCTTCTTATCTGTTCAAATTACTTAGACACACAGACATGAAATAAGCACACTCTACTCTGTCAAAATAGAATATTATACCAAAGTATGTTACTGACAAAACATGTATAAGCAGTTCATTCTCTATGTTTGATTAGTTAATAGTTCAAAATATTGTGAGTTTGCTTGGTTAAACCCACCTGTTACTCACTCTCAGCATGACAAAGCCTGACCAAAATTCTAGTTTATTTTAAGTTGATAGAACTGTAATCAATTGAAGAAAGACATATTTTCCAACAATGGAGAATCAGTCAGGAATTTTGAGCGCTGCTTGCATCAGAACTTACACGTTGGCTGGCTTATGCAATTTGACACTTGCTTCCATGTTATGACCCTGACTGACGGGAAAGAAAGCAAAGCCAACAGCGTGGAAAGTGACAAGGAAAACATTGTACCACTTGCGAGTCTCCTGGCAAGAATCATTTGTTTTTGTGTCATCTGTTTTAGAAACTCAAAAATAAACACTGTATTTTTTCCCCAGTCAAATTGTTCATGTGTTTACCACTTTAGAGAGAAGGGTGATTCTGATGCCTCTGCTCCCCAGCAACTGAAGCCTCCACAATTACTTCCAATTCCAATCTCATTTGCTTTAGACAAATGTATGGCTGCATGCAAAAAGTGTAGGGCTCCCATTTACTAGTAATGTAATAATAGTGCTATGATGAAGAACTTTTAACTTTTAACTTATAGCTAACAGCCTGCATTATAAACCTCAGAAAAAAATAAACTCGAACTAATGAAATCCATCTATCACAAACATGTATTTTTGGCCTCTGTTACATCTATAAATAAGGTTTTTATCAGGCAGAAAAGAGAAAGGACCACCCCTATGCAGCCAATCAGCTCTCAGCCCAAAGCATCAAATAGTAACTCAAAGGGTTCTTTCTTACAAATAATCAAAATACAAAAGTTTTCTTATTTTGTGGTCCACTTTGTTCACAAAAGTACATATTTCTGAATACCAAAATTCTCATGCATAAATTAAAACTCTTTTTTTGAGTGGATTGTTAGATCAAAGCTTATAGTCAATAGAACGCCCTATTTGTAATAAACAGCTATCTGTTGTCATCACGCAGCGCTGGGATACTTACAGTAACAACATTAGAGCAGTGGAAGTAATGCAGCAACCCAGTGGTACACAGTAATGGCAGCAATAAAGAGAAAACATGGTCAGATAAGACAAACCAAACAAACAAATGGCACTCATTCAACACATTAGACTTACGATGGTCACTTAGTGCATTATGATCAGTTCTGGCAACATAACGTATGCGTGAAGTATTTTTCCACACATCTTTTTGGAATTTCTATTTAATCCCAATTAATAAACATATCCTTAATAACTTACATAGGTAGATACATGCAATGGAATATGTGTTTTATTACTATCTGGGAAATGTTGAGGGTTACAAGCATGAAGAATGTTGTGGGTGATATTTTACTGGTTTGAGCCTTTTTGACCTGAGGGGACATAAATAAGACAGGTGTAGATAACTGGAATAATTCCTCAGGCTTTTGTCCCTCATTGACACTTCTTCTGCTGCTGCCGGCTCTACGACTTATATTACAGCTGCTCCTACCTGCCTTTCAAGTCACTGTGCAGAAGTAAATCAACCACTTACTAAATCAACACAAATGCTAACAACGGTTACTTGTACTTACTGTGCATTGCCAAAGTAAATTAAAAAACAATTCGATATTTCAAAAGCCATACAAACTGTTTCATATATTTAAAAGTATAGCTCAACAAATAACATTTCTATGGACTAAAAAAAAATATTGGATTGGTTATTCAATGACAAATACATACAAATGGTAAAAAACTTTCTGTAATGTCCTGGTGTCTGCCCTAAAAACACTCGTGGGAATACACCTGAATATGTGATGGTCACAAGAGAATGTCCATAATTCAATTCAGTATCAAACCTTCCACAAACTCACTCCATTCATTCTCTGTTCCTCTGTTAACTCACAGAAATTCTTGGTTGACTGAACAACATCTGATTCATTGACTTAATGATGATAAGCAACAGCCCACTAGATGCAAATACTGTCATTTTTTTCCATCCTACCTTCTTCATATCCCCAGTCCAGTTCGTCTTTGCTCTTCTTAAACTCTGCCTCTTCGTTCACGTTGTCAGCCATGGCCCTGTGTTAGTTCTTGTTGTGCTCGTCAGTCCAGGCCTTTCCTTTGTATGCTTCACTTGGCCCCAAATCTCTAGGCTGAAACAGGCTTCCAACTTTTTTACAACAGCCCCTTTCACTTGCCCTGGCTACAGCAGTTCACTCAGAGCTATGTGATGTGCATTGCTTCTTCCTCTAAGGCTCCTCCCACTCTGTCTCTCTTTGCCCACAGTAACTCAACCCTCCTTCTTGCTTACCAAAGTGCAGGTGGACTTGCTAGCACTGGCATTCTTCCAGCAATTACATCCTCCAACAATAGTCCATATCCAATGAATAATTATGCATACATGTGATACAGTATTAGTCGGTTAGTCTGCTTTTAAGTACTCTTGAATAACCTTGCTTGTATGTGTGTGTTATGGAAAGGCATAGGCAGGGAGGTCATGCTGGTGTTGCTTTTGGACATCATAAAGTCCCAGCCATGGGTGAAGGTAACAGCGGCCGTTGTGAAAACAATCTCAAAACAGCAGGAATGGAGAGAGTGAATAATACAACTGTTCTCACCGCTGAGTACTTCAAGATGGAGTCTTGAAGTAGTAGTCTTAAAACACCTAAACCAATACAGAGTTACAGCCAGACTCGTAAAAGGAGCGGTCATTCAGTTCATTCAATTCAAACCAGGACATTTTACAATGCAATTCTCTAAAACTAACAGACCCTTAGAATACACCAAGAGTCCTCATTCTGTATTTGTGACAATGTTAATTCCTATCCTCAAGGCTCATGATATTAATTGCCCTATATTCTTTATTAAAAACCCCTGGAGAAGTGGTTATGCAGGCGACCTCCCTTGATTCAAACTGTGTGCAGCTAAAATCAGTGACTCTGCTCTCTCTTCCTTCCATCACTTGTTCTGTTTTTGATTCCAATCAAAGTGCAAAAAGGCCACAACTGCACTAGCTGCACCTTCCGATCAACTCTTGTCTGACCTAAATATAAGAAGTCAAGAAAAGGTCATTAAGTCAAGCAGTGAAGGCCCATTTTGGTATATGTGTTTAAAATGAATTAAATTATGTAGATAGCAATTTAAATGGTCTCTTGACATGTTTAAAAACACAATTGAACAAACAAGACCCACCTATGTCTGATTGAGAAAAATCACACCGAGATGTAGCATCAAGGACCTCTGCAGCGCTACCTTGGCCCAAATGCCACCAGAGGTATATAACTGGACTAGAGGAAACAGCCATATTTGGATAGCAGACAAGGTTATGTCATTGAAATCAATATAGTGACTGTAAAACCATAGAGTTTTTATGAGTATCTCCTCATTCACGTTTGTTCTATAAAAATATGTTTTTCCTCTTTTTATTACGTATTCTAAAAACCAAATGTCTCAGATTGCAAAACTATTCCCTTGATTTTTAGCCCAAAGACATTTCTTCTGCTACCATTTTACAGGTAATGAACATATTTACTGCAAATGCTTTATAAAAAATGAGTTGTGTTAGATGTAATATGCCTTTGTGCCACAAGATGTCACTAAAGTAAATATTACTCAAATCCGACATGGTAAACAGTCTGGCTACCGTAGTTTATGGCTGTAGTCAGGGAAAAACTATGGTAGAATCAAGTAAATAATTCACTGAAAAACCTTTTTTTTTTTTTAAGAACTGTAATGGTTTAATAGATTTAAATGTATGTCCCAACAGAAAGTGCTTTGTAAAAGTAGAATGCTGTGATCACACCATGATAATGCTGTCTTCATCTTTTTAAGAGACGTGATCTTTTGCATACTTGTAAGAAAGAACCCTGTGAGTTACTATTGTATTCTTTAGGCTGAGAACTGGTTGAGGGTGGTCCTCATTTTTCACTCTTCTCATCTAAGGATGTGACACAGGCCAAAGATACATACATACATATAAAAAGGTAAGTATGTAGTTGTTTTTCTCTTTTATGCTTGAATGGCCCTTGAGATGTTATTCAGATATGTTAAAACCCACCTCTCATCTTTAACAGAAGTCTGCATATTTGAGTCAAGTTTTCCCATGATCTGGTTTTAGGGTGTTTCCTTAGTATACTATTTAGTAGGTCGAGCTGGTGGGAGACATATTTACAAATGTAGGTATAATATTACAGGTCTTTCTTTGCAGTTTTATAACTGTACTTTAAAAGTACTACGTGTCCACACAGTAAGGTCAGGGCGAAATTTCCAAGAATGAGCCTTTTCAGTAGATGAATCACATTATACAGTACAGCCACAAGGGGGTGATAAAATACATGGCTGGTGTGTGAATTGTTTACAGCTCTCAAATAGTTCCCTGCATCAAGAAAAATGTACACAAACTACTATACACAAGATGTAATGAGTACAAGTGCAAATAAGAGTTAAAACACCTGCATTTCTCATGCAGAGGTCTGGCGGACCCCTGAATACTTCATCACGTTGTATCCTGTACGTGGCGAGGGCGGACCTTGTGACGTAGAGCCGTGGCTGTTTATTGTTCCTTGCCGAACAGCACCGACAGAGAAAAAACAAGCTAACAGGCTGTGTGCTACTCATTTTCACGCGGGTTTCAGTCTGTAAAACGAAGGCGTAGGGCTCACGACACCTGACAACACAAACCTGGGCCATGGCGTACGCGTACCTCTTCAAGTACATCATCATCGGAGACACTGGTGAGCGCCACTCTACTGTCACTTAGCATTAGCAGGCTAGTAGCACTTAGCATTTGAGCTAGCTGTGCATTTCCGCAGTGTTGGATAGACCCAATGACGTGGTAAAAGACCAGATGCAAGGGGTGGGGTGACAGCTACACTTTTAACACCGAGTATATATTGTTCTCTTTTAATGAACCTTGACAGCGCCTGGAAGTGGCATATAGGTGTACAACCAAATTCAACATGTGTGTTAGCGTAGTCTCGCCTCTGTTGATGGTGGCAAAACATTGTGGGCCTGCCGTCTGCTTGCATCCATCTAGGGTGGGGGTGTTAGCACCAGGCTGTTAGCAGGCAAAGAAGCCAGACATTTAGCTGTTTCGATGTTTTTTAAACTGAGAACGAGACGGATAAATACATGGATAAATCTATGTTTCAAGCCCAGGGTTTGGAGGCGCTGTGATACGCAAGCAATAACTAAGATCCTTATGTCAGTGAAGCCAATCACTAAAGAAATGCTCTCAAGCTTCATAATGTTGACCAAACACTGGCCCAAAATATGCACATCTCAAGATGATTAGCACACTAATGGATTAACAGGCAGACTTCTAGAGTCAACTATAAAGGGTCTATTGAGCTAGCATGCACACATCAGCACGTGTAATCTTAGGAGCTCCTGACTCTATGAAATTGCATTAGTAAACAATTCCAAGTTGACTAATCAGCTTGTAAACATACTAGGAAGACTATTCCAGTTATTAATTGCGTAACCTCACAGATTAAACTTTTCAAACAATACATATATAGTATACTTTTATATTTATTGTTTGAAGAGTTGAATCAATTAGAATCTGTAAAATAATAATAAAAAGACGTGTACAAACAACCTGATAGTGTTTATTTGCGCTTCATAGTTTATGCTGTATTTTGAAGCTTCTAACACAAGTAAGTGACAGTAAGGCAGCTTTAAACGACTTTACCTATACAACGTTCGCATCAAATTTTGTACTATAAGATAAATCTAAATCACTTCAATACTAATGCTACATAATAGTTATTGCGACATGGCCCTTAGATTGTTTTCGTTTATCTCTTACCAAACCCAGTTGCATCACTGTCCTGTTTTTATTAGTTTATTTATATTGAAGCCAAATTATACAATCCAAAATAATCTAATTGTTCTCAAATAATGAGGTTTATCTGTTCACAATAAAATTCTCTAGACTCCACGGCTCTTGCTTTAATCTCATGGGAATGATCTCTATTTCCTTTGTGCATTTGCAAGTACTCAGACCAATCAATTTTGACAGCAAAAATTACGACTATAGTGACTACTACTACTAACCCATGCCTCATAACATTTTAAATATCCTCATAGTGTTTTTTGTATTTTTATCTTCTTTTTTCAGTACAGAATTTTGTGGGTTTAGCCAAAGGCAAACTGATGGGCCTAAAGCTTTTAACACTTGCTCACTGATAAAATCAAACAGGTTAAACTCCATGTATTCATCCATTATTGTTTATCATTGGGGTGGGTAAATTCTCCAGCTGGGTCTCATTCATATTGGATGAGTGGCCAAACAGGTCTACTTTACAGACATTGGGAGATACTCAAACCACTGTCTAGTTACATGACAATTGTTTATCTGGAAGTGATTGCACATAGTTCTGCAGCTTTTGACAGCCTCAGGAGTATCAGAGTAATTGATTCAGACATAGATCTGTTTTAGACATTTTACATGATTGCGTTATACATTCACTCCACACACAGTGGTGGAAAGCCACTGTAGCCGCAGATGCCCTGTGGCATACTGAAAGCTAAAATCTGTGCCTTCAGACCCTCTGACCAGCAGCAATCTGAATGATCACTAGATTCATTCTCAAACTTCATAGTCCCACTTTGGTACCTGGTGTTCCCAACGGTCTCGGCACAGTACTGAACACATTCTAAATTCTGACAGGTTCAAGTAATAAAAAAGAAATGGTGGTTAGTTAGACTTGTTGTTGTGCAGTGTGTACCGTGTGGAATGATCTGTCACTCGTACTACTGACTCAGCTCTATGCCGTACAGTTCGTTTTGAGATTTTTTTTTGGGATCGTTGTTACAGTATTTGCACTGTTGTCATTCAGAAGCAAAATTACATTATGTTATCTATGTGAGGATCTACAGTAACATTTGAGTAAAGTCGAACTATGTTATGGTCTCATATCTGTGGGTATAAGCATCTGTGGGCTTCCTTCCATGTTGATAATCACGAGTGAGTAGCATTTCTCAAATCTATTGTAACTTTATTTACAAATTACGCATAAGCTATCATAGCCTTATTTTCATATTGAAGATTTTTGGCATTAAGTACTGTTGTCCGTGACTAAAATGAAGTTGTTGTAACTTTGCTCAGCGTGCTGTTATCTCTTTCATTATCTTGCGTTGGGCTTGCCCGCCACTTGCTGACATGTTTCGCACAGGTGTGGTATTTGCCCCCTTAATCTTTACCAAAGCAAATACATATTTCTGAATCCACCCTTTGCTTCACCGTGAAGCTCTATAACTCCTCACAGCTTGTCTTAAATGTAGCATCCATCAATACTTCCGAGAATCTTTTAGTACAGTTTCAAATCTGTATCTATTTTCTTTATGGGTTTAACTTGTTCCAAAATTGTTGAAGATATTTTATCTACGGCACAGAAAAATCACTTTAAATGCGAGATGCAAGATTGACTTTTCACAGCAATTGGCCATGTATTCTAGTAAGTAATCTTTATTTACATAGCGCCTTTCAGAGACCAGAGTTACAAAGCGCTTTACAATTGCTATGGGCATTTATCTTCTCACTCTACACAGTGATGGAAGTGGAGTCCCCATATGGCATTCTATCATCAACATTTATACTCTCAAAGCTGTTTTTAGAGTGATTCATACATGTTACCCTGACCACAGCCACCAAGTCCCTCCCACTGTTTTTCCTTTTCAGAGTCCGTGATATGTGCCTGCCTTGCATTGTAATTTTAGCTCGAATGAAAAATTATATCCTTGCATCACCCTTGATCTGCAGTGGAGCAGGGACCACTGCCATGTTCACTGCCATCGCGTGATTGGTCACTTGTTGTGCAATTGATGATCTGATGATTAACAAATGGTTATGACAAATTTACCAATACTACTAATGCACAGCAATTTACAGCAAGTTATAAGGTTTTAAGCCTTGGACTCTTGGAATTGCTGCTGTGGGCGAAATATCGTTATTCCGTCAAAGTTCTGTTTTGTGCAGATTTCTCTTTTTATTTGTTCCCTTAGCTTGTCTGTTCATAAGGAGGAAATGCAAGTGATGATCAAGATGTCAAGAATGTGAATATGTAGCTTTGAACTGCAGTGTGCTTGGTCAGTCATATGATCAGAAAAGTAAAAGCACAAGTAAAAACATGCTATTTTCAACATTTCAAACATTTCAAACATTTTAGGGCAGTGCTCAAAAATGTGTGGAACCAGAGTTATAGGAATTTTCAGTAGGAAAGTACATTATAGTTTGAGCTGTAACAACAAATCGATTAATGGCAACTAATCAACTATTTTCAATAATCAACAACTGTTTGAGTAATTGATTTATCGTTCTGCTCTTTTATACAAACTTCTACACATCTATTTGTTGAGATTTTTTTAAGACACAAACTGGGGATGCACCGATGCATCGGCTGAACATTGATATCGGCCGATATTTGCCGTGTTAACTACCATCGGCCTTCGCGATACGCGCACTTTCCTGGTGGCAATCATAGTGGCAATATTTTACTGTATCAGAAAAAGATCAGCGGTATGCAGTTTGTGTGTCGGAGTCATTGCTTTCCCCCTGTCACTAAGCCCTAGTTGTGTTATTTTAACAACTAATCGATTATGATTTATGACAGCACTTATGCCTATGGTTCTCTGGTTCACTATTTGATTCAAAAACATAAATTACTCGGATATTTGTGCAAAGCCATGTAGAACTCTGAACCAAACTTCTTGAGCCCGGAACTCTCTGCATTTGAAAAGGTATGTCAAAATTTAGAAGGGCCTGGCTGGTCAGGCATGTGTGTCTCAACTATGGCACAGTTCAGCATAAATGTGAGCGTATATTGTGACAGCTGCAGTAAAGAAGATTCCTGATGCTAAAGTAAGCTCCCGGCAGAGGTTTGCGGTTCAGAATTCTGCTGAGGCTGCACAGATTCAAGTTACTCCTCCTAGGTCTTTGGGGACTTTAGCACAATTTATTGAAATGGGCCATAGTGTGCTTGTCAAAGTCTGATCTTGTCATAGCTCAAAAGCTAAGCAGTGCATGGCCTGGTTAGTACTGTGATGGAAGACCTCAGGGAATTCCATAGTCATAGGGGGATGGATGGCTTGAGCTTTAAAGTGCTGTGTAATTAGGCAAGACACTTCACCCACATGGTCTTGGGTGAATTTAGAGAGTGGTCGGAGAAACAGGTGTGCTATATCGATACAGGTTTTTTTTCCTACAATACAAAATAGATATTTTTTTTTTTCGTTTTTTTCATCTTCAAAAAGATAAACGTATAGACTGTGATTGTATTTTTTTACTTTATAACAATACATTAAATATAAATGCTTTTTTAGCCAAATGACAAAGATGTGACTTGGGCCAATGGATCCTTAAAAAAAAAAAACTTTTTGTGATGAATGTCCTGAACGGATCTTCTCTATCTATTATTTGTCATTTATTTTTGAGTGTATTACTCATTCATTTAGAATAAAGTAAAGTGATGTTATACAACTTTGCCTCACATCCTGATCGGTCTTTAACCTCCTGATGCAGGTCCCACACTCAAATGGCCAATAATGCCTCAGTTACAAAGGATCTGTTGCCACGGTGATGTCTGCAGATCAATTAAGAAGCAGCTGTCTCTTAAATGAGAAAAAAAACAGGCTTTCTCACATTACGCCTCTTTGTGTTACTCTGCCTTTGGGCTAGAAGATGATGAAGCTCAAAAACAACACTGCAGCAGCTATGCCAGTTTAATTCAGG